AAATTCATATTAACCATCCACCGTGCTGTTGATGGTACATCACCAAAAACAAACCATGAATAAATTAATGTTAATGTATGATGTATCCAATGTAATTTTCTTAATGGACGTTTACGTAATACAATAAATATGGTATCAATTAATTCAGGTACTTTGGATAAGGTAAAAAATAAATACCAAATACAAAGACGAATATCCTGTGTATACAAGGGGGGGAAACAAAACAGAATGAAAAATCAATCAATCGATTTGATTAATCCAATTTACCTTTCCATAGGTATTTTGTGTATATGAATAAATGAAACCATAATTTTTTAAAACAAAAATAAATTCAGGTAAACAACGAATGCTTGCAATCAATGAAAATATTGTCATTATTAAATTCCATATGATTAATTGATGTTTTAATTGAAAACCATAATTTGTTGTTGTTGATTTCATCAAACGTATTAATATTTGTATAATAATCAAATAAATAACAGAAATATAAATGGAATAATGCCAATATTCATTTGATAATGACATAATTCGGGGAAAATTTCTGGCAAACCATTTTTCAAATTCAAAAATATTTGTTATACCGGGAAATTTTCGAAAATCATTAATCGTATGGTTATAATGACCATTTGGAAATTGTAGATAATATTGATGATAACGTATATCATTGAATAATGATGATTGCGTTGAAAACATGATTGATTTCAAATCGATCCAGAACAAAATTGATTTGGAAAAAAGAAGAAAAAACCAAAAAGAAACCAAAAACCAATCACACACAAAAGACCAGGATGATATCAATGATTGAAAACTGTAAAACAAATCAAATAAAACTATCACCAATTATCAACATCGACTAAACAACAATCAACGAATATGAAAAGTTTGTTTGTAAAGTTATTAATTATTATTATTATAATGATGATGTTCATTTGACAATCAAATGTCAAAATACACACACACAGACACACAAAACAACAATGCTGAATGCTGTTGACATTTGGATTGTTTGTTTTTTTTGTTTTTGATTGTTGGCTATAGCTAAAAATACATAATATTAAATTCGATAACCAAAAAAGTACATATCGTTGTCGTCGACGACAACGATATTTTTGTTGTGTTTGACAACTCGAAATTCCTATTGTGTCCATGCATTGCTGAATCAAAACGGAAATAAGTGTTATTTCGTTCGTTCATTCGTCGTGTGTGTTTTGATTTGTAATCAGACTGTGATTTTACAAGAAAAAACAAGCTAGCAACAACGAAATCAAAGATTCTTATCAAAATCTTCATTGATACGTGATTTTTGTCGTTTGATTTTTTGTTTGTTTGTTTTTTCAAACATTTTCAAAGTTCAAAGATCAAAGACTTTTTGTTAAAATCCCAGAACACTAGAAAGAAAAAGTCAGGTTTTTTTTCGAAAAAAATTTTTAATTTCACCCTTTTTTTGTTGACCAAAAATAATAATAATAATAATTTAACACTGTGTTCATCCATTCAGTCATGTGAAATTACAAAAAAAAAGAAAGATTATCAAATTAATTTATAAAAAAAAGTGATTCAAAATATTTTAAATAATCAAAAGAATGAAATGAAAAAATTTGATAATAACAAGCCAATCAATGGCCATTATTATCGTTAGTTGAGTTGAGTAAGTTTAGTTGAGTTGAGTATAATAAATTTATCAAAAGAAAAAATGAAAATGGAAATAAAAGGGTTAAATTTTTGCAAATTAAAAAATTCTTTGTGAATAAGATTTGATTTGAAAAGGAGGGGGGTTTTTCCCGCAACCAACAATAATATTCATCATTTGTTGCTGTTTGTTGACGTCAATAATAATGTAATGAGTTTTTGTTTTGGCTTTTTCGTAGGTAAAAATAATAAATATTATCGCTTTGATGATGATGATGATTATGATAATCGTTAACGATTACGTAGTTTGATTTGGATTTGATTGAGCATCATTAAGTGTGTGTGTGCGTGTGTGTGTGAATTGAACATGTCGTTGATGATGAGAATGATCGTTGATGACGATGATGGTCAATTGATGATCGTCAATTGATGATGGTTGATGATGATCGTTGATTATTGTAATTTTTTAATCACTTCTTTACCATTTGGATTATTATTTAAATCTTTAAATATAGCATTACCATTAGCCATTGCAACTTTTACGGCTTTTTTCGATGATGGTATTATATATGTACGAATGAAAAAATTCATAAACAATAAAAAGAATAAACCGTATAAGGAAAAACCGGTTAATGCAACAGCTAGACTAACATCACATGGTTGTTCAATTAATTTTAAACGTAAACAATCAATATGAATATAAAAACCGAATAACATTTGTACGATTTGTAATGTTGTTAATGTTACATTAACTTGTCGAGGTAAACGATAACCCATTGCTGTTAATGCATAATATGAATACATTAATGTATGTACAAATAGATTCATATTAACCATCCATCNGGCTGTTGATGGTACATCACCAAAAACAAACCATGAATAAATTAATGTTAATGTATGATGTATCCAATGTAATTGAATTAAACGTCGTTTACGTAATACAATAAACATTGTATCAATTAATTCCGGTGCTTTGGATAATGTAAAAAACCAATACCATGCATTTATACGAATATCCTGTGAGAAATTAAAGGCAAAAAGAAAAAAAAAGGAATTAGAAAAATTTAGAAAAAAAAATTTGACAAGTTTTAATCAGAAAAAGCTTTTCGAAATCTTTTCCTTTCGACTCAATGTTAACACTGTCAATTCGGATGAACTTGAATCAAAATCCAATCAGAAAAATCTTCCTAATAAAATCACAATTGAATTTTTAAAAAGTTTTCGTTGTGAAAAACCTGCCCAAAAAATAAAAGTTTTTGACAAGAAACAATCATCATTTCCATGATGATTTCATCATTTCAATTTAGTTGGGGGAAAAAAATAAAATCAATCAAAATCGATATTGAGAAATCAAGGTGTTAATAAAAAGATCAATAAATATTCGCACGTGTTAACTGTTCTGTTCTGCTCTGTTTTGGCTGTAAAATTTAAATTTTAAATATCGTTCAAAAATATAGGGAAAAGTGAATCAAGTCTGGCAAAAAAATAAATTTCGCAAACCAAAAACTCAAGTTAGTTGGAAAAATGAGTGAAAAATTTAACCTTGAATTAGTTTTTTTTTCAATTGAAACAAACTAAAAAAAAAACCTAAAAGAATTATTCAAAAGCAAAAAGCAACGAAGGAAAAACCTGTTGAAAATTCTAATGTGAAATTAATTCAAGAAGAAATGATAATCTTATGGAAAATAGAATGTCACCTTGCGCGCACACCTTTCATTCCAGAAATCATCATCACCATTGATTAATGGCTTAATGAATATTTTGAAGATGCTAAATGCATCTGCAACTAAACAACACTTTTTGAAGACAATTGAAACTGGACAAAGATTATGATGATGATGAAAAGCAATTTTTAAATTTTGTTAAAACAATAACGACACAACTTACCTGTACATAAGTATTCTGTGTATATGAATAGAAAAATCCATAATTTTTTAAAACATGAATGAATTCAGGTAAACAACGAACAGTACCCATTAATGAAAATATTGCTAACAACCAATTCCATATGATCAATTGTCGTCGTAATTCAAAACCTTTTTCAAAATATTTATTCATTATAAATTTTAATGAAAATATTGTTATAATATAAACGATCGATATATAAATAGATAAATGCCAATAATTATTTGATGCCATTACAATTTCACGTGTATTATTTTGTACAAATATTTCACCCGGAAACATTATTTGTAAACCGGGAAATTTACTATAATCATAATTCCATGTATAATTACCGGCCGGTATATCACGATAATAATAATGATAACGTATATCATTCATTTTAAATAAATTATTTAATAATGACATTTTTTCGTTTGGTTTTTGATTCTTAATTTTTTGACTTTTGATTCTTGATTTTTCGTTGATGTTTTTAGATCAGTTTCTTTTGGTTCAAAGGCAACAAATATAATGATGATTTGATGGATGATGGCTTTGGTCACAAATGGATGACTGAAAAAAAAATCGATCAATGATCGATTGATTAACAAAGT